ATTTCTTACCTTTCTTACATTCTCCATTATGTTTCACGGTAATCATTTGCTCACTAGCACAAGCAGCAGCTTTCATTCCGCACAAATTACCGTACGTTACTCCGTCCGATCCACAGACTGGCGTGTAGTCCATGGTACAAACGGTTGGACATTCACAAGTCGTGTTGCCGTTCATGTCGGCTTTACACATACCATAGAAAGGACACGTGACGTTGTTACAATGATCTGAGTATGAAGAGAATTGTACAAGTTTATATATCTGGACAATCTTTAACTATAAGTGCGGTGACAGATACATTTATAGCCTGAGCACAATATTAGCGTACATCCGCCTTTTTAAGCACAAGGAATGCACCACGAGAACCAAGTGTGTATTTCGACTTTGTCCACCTTCTTTCTACAAATCACTATACTGCATTTCTGTGACACATCCACAGTTGTGATTTATGATTGGATTTTTAGGATATCGAAGACAAAGTACCTGGAGGAGGAGCGATGACATCAATGCACTCTCGCTGACAGCCATTAAAGCAGCACTTTTCGTTATCACCACTACACGTTGAATCTATAGTGCACTGATCTCCCATTCGATCACAGATACCGTCACGACCCTTGGTTGGSAGAGGACATGAGCCATTAACTACATCAACGAACCCTGGAACAACTGAAGAAAAAAACACGAAATCAGGCATTGATAAAGGCCACCACATTTCGCATGGATAATCACCGTGTTACAGTCGTTTTGCTTTCGATGCAAAGGCACGGCTACCTTTCAAGATGGCGCAGTGAAACGCGAAGAAGACTATCGTAAATTTTCTCGATTTCTGAGAGCCGTGGTAAATAAAAGTACATACAACGTTCACAATATTGTTCATTTTATCGGGGATTCATTATCTATTTTTTTTTTGTGGTGGAAAACAAATTTATGATTTACAAATATACTTAAGTTTCTCTTATTTACCACAGGTTGGCGCCATCTCATCGTCAAAATTGTTGTTTGTTAACTTGACTTCGTCTCGTAGATAATAACAATTTTGACGATTCGATGACGTCAACCGTGATAAATAAGAGCATATACCACAATAAATTTGTCAAATCTGATTCAATACTAACTAGCCAATCAGAGCAGCGAAACGAATTTCTCACACGTGTAAAAACTGGTTCCAATATTATAAGATGAAGGACAGCTTGCTTTATCAAGCGCGTGATGTTTTCCAGTGTATTACGTTAAAAACTAGAAATTGACTGAATAATTGCTATGGGCATAAAAAGACATGAATTATTAACATAGATTAACATCGTATCAGTGATAGCAGTTCAGCCATAACTTAATTAAAGTTTGATTGATTGGTGTTAATGCTTTACATTTTTTTGGGCCTAGTGCAGACCTGGCAGGCATGATTATTTTTTAACGGTAGATTAAGGGTAGCATCCGTTTCTGGACGTAAATTCTTGGAAAAGTATCAGTATTTGGCTGGATTTCTCTTAGAGAAGGTTCCACAAAGAATTCTGGTCCGCTGTATGCGGATAATGTTCATATTGTTTCATGTGTTCCAATGTCCTTACTTATATAATGCAAAAGAATTTGATCACAAGGTACACCTACATACCTGGGTAAAGACAATCCTTTTGGCATCCATTGAAACAACATATTTGTCCAAAATTACAGCTAGCGTTACTGCGGCACATGTCCCCGCGTCGGTCACAAATTCCATCTTTTCCTTTCCATGGTTTTGGACACTTGCTCACTAGAAGCAAATTTATCATAATCGAAAAACGTTTTAACGGTTGTTAAGAGGTTTTCGAAAACATACGCAGTTATTTGTGAGAGCGCAACTTTGGACAACATCAATAAATCCTCCTAAGTCATGAAAAAACGTTTTTTTAGTGCCGTTTGCACGGAAGACATAGTAACTAGTTTTAGGGACAATAAAACATGAGAGGAACACAACGACTCCCATCATGCTTTGTTGTACAAAATGGAGTCGCATTGCTATTATGGTGTCAATCACTTACAATTACCAAAATGCATTGCTCACTTTCCTTTAGAATGTGTTAGTAGTTTCAATTGTTTTTCTATCTCTAAAGTGATTTAAAATCGGAAGCAGAATGAAGATGCACAAAGCTTTCTGGTAGTTGTAGAACATGTACGCTATCACGCAATCCTCCAATGATAACCGTTCTCTAAGATCATAAATCCTTTTGCGCCGCGTTTAAAACTCTCTCCTCTAACATATTGTTATATCTCTGGAGATATTAATACAGTATTGATTTTAACGCTAACGCTATAGATACTACAATCGTATGCAAAATAAACGGAACACCCTCCCCCTTTCCCCACTGCAAGGTTGTTCACACGTTCCTTTCGCTTCCTTGTCGATTTTGTAGCATTTCATTGACGAACAACATTGTGAAAGGAGAGGGGTGATTGTGGGAACACATGAAATCATAGACAGTGAATTTTGCAAAAGATTGTAGATCAATGAGAAGCAAAACGCAATTGTAGTTGTAATTGATTTTGCAGTCTGGTGTATTTCTTACCTTTCTTACATTCTCCATTATGTTTCACGGTAATCATTTGCTCACTAGCACAAGCAGCAGCTTTCATTCCGCACAAATTACCGTACGTTACTCCATCCGATCCACAAACTGGCGTGTAGTCAGCGGTGCAAGCGGCTGGACATTCACAAGTCGTGTTGCCGTTCATGTCGGCTTTACACATACCATAGAAAGGACACGTGACGTTGTCACAAGGATCTGAGCACGAAGAGAATTATAGAAGGTTTATATCTTGATAATCTGCAATTAGTGACATTACAGATACATTGTGCCTCTTTACAGTTTGAGCTGACTATTTGGGTATATCCTTTTTTCGGTTTCACTACCAGGGTGTAAATTTCACATTGAATTACCTGAAATCTGCCAAGTGAACCCAGTATGACTAGCGACTTTTTCAATTAAGGAATAAAAGACGAAATTCCGTGTTTGATACTCTGATCAAAACACGTGGGATGTAGGGAGAGCACGAGAGAAGCGTAGGAAAGCTTCCAGCTTTTCGAGTGCTCTCCCTACATCCCAAGTGTTTTGATCAGAGTATCAAACACGGAATTTCGTCT